GGGGGGCGTGTCTAAGAAAATGTGAGAATTGATGACACGGGGGGTGGGGTGGGGTGAGGATAGATCAGAAGGTAAGCTACACGATATTTAATTTTTATGATACAAATAAAAGCTGAAGCTGAGTGTGATGTTCAACTTTCTTTTGTGTTGGATGTATTCAGCCAGAAGAGGTCACTTCTCAGTGTCTAATTTTAATAGCAAAGTGTGATTTAGATTGAATTTTCATACGTTTTTTTTTTTTAAATTCTGTGTTAAATGCTTGCTCTCTTTTCTTCTACATCCGTAGTTGTATTTCATTCGCTATTTTTCTTTCTCTTTCATGACAGTCTTCAACTTTTTTAAAACAGGGATCCTCTAACTTTTTCAATTAGTGGGGCCGGTTCACCGTTCCATACACACATGGGGTCGGTTCGTGGGAGGGGGGGGGGTTGGAGGGGGGCCGCTAATTTCATTTTTTTTTTCTAAATAAAAGCTTTATAAATATCAGAAGGCTTGTATATAAAAAAAAAATATAGTGTTCTACCTTATTTGGTGGATCTAGGTAAAATTGGAAGTCATACACTGCATAAAATAATGTTGGATTTTAAACTAATAATATCCACTACTGGGGGCCGGATGTTGTTCTGGAATTATCCAGAAAGTTCTACATTGTTCCACGTCGATATAAGGATTACGAAAATTTTAATGAGATCTTAAAAGTTGTTTTTTTTTTACATTTGACCTTACTTTCATGGTTTTTTCACTATTCTGGGACTTTCCTTGATGTCGGTCAATTTGCCTCATAATAGTTTCTTGAAATGTTTACCTTTTTCTAGGACGCTTGATTTATTATATAGGCATTAAGATCATATAAAGGTCCTTTTTTATATTTTTTTTTCTACAAACCTCGCTGATTTTCCTCAAATTTTATGAAATCGGATTTAAGGATATTTTAGAAGTGCTGTAGGTTCGACATTTTAATTCCATTACGTAATTCCCAAAGGTTCAGTTTACAACGTAAACATCTTCGTAAATTCTTGCATCTAGGCCAAAATTGGTAGGCCTACACAAACATCGCATGGGTCTTTGCAGAATTTAGGTAAATTTCAAAATAATAATATACAATTTTTTAATCAATTTTTTTTTTACTATTATTTTTTATTTATTTATTTATTTATTCATTTTTTCTGCAATGGATCACAAAATTTATTTTAAATAAGATAGGATAAGCTTCTTTTATTGATCCAAATAAATGGATATATTTTTATTACGTTGTACATATTCATTTTCAGCAAATAAATAAATGCATCTTTCACCCTAAACAATATTCTTGACAATGATGATGTAATTAATTAATGAGCTTTTAGATTTGGCAACCGCTGCTGGAGCACGCTGGTAAATTCGTACAGACTGGGGAAAGAAATAATGTTTATATCTTTCGGTCTTAACTTAAAGAGAAATAATTCACACTGACTGAGCTGATCTTAGGTATCTGTGATGAAAAGGGTGTGATTTATCAACAACTTCTTTTTTTTTTTTTTTTTTTTTTTTTTTTTTTTTTTTTTTTTTAATATTTTTTTTTTTTTAATTTTTTTTTTTTTTTTTTTTTTTTTTTTTTTTTTTTTTGTTTAACAACAGCATTTTTCATCAAATAGTTCTTTTAAGTGAAGGATGTTTAGTTTGCGTGATGTTATTAGCTTTCATGAACTCTCACACGAGCAGGTAATACTGAAGTTAAGCTGGCTTCCAAGTGTAGCATAAGTTAATAACATAACGCTATTGCGCAGTTTTTTTTTGAAAGCTAGAAAATACTCTGTTTGAATTCGGAAATCGTCAACCAGTTCGATCTCTCTCTTTGGCGTTTTTCAACCGATTTTATTGTGACAACTTTTTAGAAAAACTTAATTCATTTTTTTTTTAAACCTAAAATACTCACTACTGTAAAATATTAAAGGTTAAATCCATTTGGCGCCAAGGTCCAATGGTAAAAATTTAAAAGGCAACATCATTTGTAAATGCCATCCGATTTTAATGGCACAACCTACATTTAAAAAAAAAATTATTTGAATATTTATCTGAATAATTTTGATAGAGCCCCTATCTCAGAGATATCTAAAATTGGCCTTTTTAGACTGGGTTCCTGCCGAGTATCCTATTTTAGTTTAATTCACAAGAGCTCATTGCTGTGGCGTTGTTGAATACCGTTTAATCTTAAGACATCTTTCAAAAGTCATGTTGGTCTTTATTTCGTGTTTTTTTTGTGTTTTTTTTGTTGTTGTTTTTACTGGAAACAGCTTGAAAATTAACGGGAAAGGGCTGGGCACTAAATGCAATATTATGCAACCAGAGTTGTTGTAAGTATGGCTTTATTGTGGGATAAAATTAAATGAATTTTCAATGGATATTTAAAGAAGTATTTTTGAGTTGCCCTTAAAATTTCGCGTACACTGATGACACTTTAGAGGGCAAGCACCGCGCAGAGCCGTTGATAATAAAGCAGTCCAAAACCCCCCCCCCCCCCAAAAAAAAAAATGTTAGGGAGAACAAAGTGAAAACAACAGGTTCTGAAATGTATGTATTTAATGCAGAGTTATTGGACATCCTTGCAAGATTTATTTCCATGTTCATCCAAACACTAAGTAAACACATCAATTAAGATTGTCTTCTTTTTCTTTTTTTTTTTTAAACAGGGGTGGGGCTAGGGGCGGGTGGTACAGTAATGTTTGCTTTTTCAGCGTCTCAAAATTTTACGAAGAAACAAAACAAAACAAAAAACGAAATAAAATAACAGGGAAGAGAGAGACAAGTTCACCCAACAACAAAACTGCCCCTCTGAAGAAACGCCGATGTCAATCAGACAAGTAGACGTATGGTAATTTTCTCACCCCTTGCCTAATCCATGGGGCTTTTCTCTCCTGATCCTTCATCTAAATGTGTAACTCTTCTTTCTCTAAAGACGTTAAGTTTTTTTTTTTCACCAGTCTAATACCGATCTACTTTATTTATTGTTTTTTTTTTTTTTTTTTTTTTTTTATTTTTTTTTTTTTTTTTTATTTGTAGAGTTCTTCTTCTTATATTTGAAGGGCCCACGATCAATTTGTTGATCATTCTGGCTCCTGGTTTAAATTCAGAGTTTGCCTTCTCTTGGATGGGTTGCCGTCCAAGGCTAACGAGTCCCATCCACCCGGGATGTTGGCTTTGGTGGGGATTGAACTCCGGACTTTTGGTTTGAGACCGTTTAGACCGCTCGGCCACCCAGCACCTGTTCGTCTCCTATTTCCAAATAAACCTGATTTGAAAACTTCATCTTCCACGCTCTCCTGTGTTTCCTTTATATGATAAGCATTTTGACGTCTTTGAGTTCTAAAAGGGTGGATTCTCTAGGATCAAAGCGTGGGGGTGGCGGGGGGGGGGCGGGGGAAGAGGTCACACCTCCATAACACTGTACATTTTTAACAATTGATAATATATTTTTTTATTCCAAAAAAAGAAAAGAGCGTGTGTGGTTTTTTTTACGTCACTGACAATGAAACTCCGGTTCACGCGTATGGCACTTACTAATGGTGAATTGAAATCTGTCAACAACAATTCATCTCAAACATTTGAAAATTCCGTCTTTTCCCTCTTTCTTAACGTTACCACCACCGACAAGGGACATTGGTCACTACATAGAGGCAATCTAATAATATGATTATCTCCCTTGTCGTAGTCACTTGTTTAATTTTGAGTTCGTGAAATATTTTTTCCCTTGTATGAAGGCAGTATTTGTTTATTTATTTATTTATTTTTTTGAAGTCAGAGTGTTTTGTTTTTGTTTTTTGTTTTTTTCATTTTCAGTGCGATTTTTTTTTTTTTCATGTGCATTAAAATTCAAAATCATTATACGAAACCTCACACAAAAATGTGCCTTGACTTGATGCTGTGCAAATATTATCATTCATCTTCCACCCCATGGTCTTCTCAAGTGTTAAACAGTTTTCGCTGGGCAAGTGGTTCGGTTCTCCTCTTGACCAATCCGTAAACAAAACTGGTTCTTTACTTCTGCGGTACACCAGATCCTTGCGTATGCGTCCAGGAGCCTGCGTAGACTTGTACTCCTCCCCCGTGTAGACCGTTTGAAACCCGGGCAAATCTTTGATAAAACTGACAATGAAATCGTATTCACTCTGGTCATTTATCTCCACAAGGTATCCTCCGAACTTCTTGCACCTGATTTCCGACTCATCTATCGTTCTCTCTTTTATGTTTTTGGGAAGAAAATAGAATGAATTTTCGTATCTCAGTGACACGAAGTAGAACTCTTCGAGGAACGCAGACTTCACTCGTCTTAACTCGGCTTTCATTTGAGCGAAGCTTAAAGTCTGTGGGAATGTCACATTTGAAGTTGTTTTATTTGTATTGTTTGACTCGTTTCCGAAATTCGGCGCGCTGTGTTTATTCTTTGACATTTCCTCAACCGTCGCTTGTAGCTTTTCTAATAGGGATACCTGTGACATGACGTCATTGCTTGTGTTTTGATATTGTTGTACTTTAGCCTCAAGACCAACTATTTGTGCGCTAACGTTTTCGTTTTGGCCTTCCAATCTGGCAAGTTTACTTTGAACTCTGGAATCGTCCTCGACTCTGACTTTGTCCAAATCCGATACCATCGATATCAAATGGTTGCTGATATTTTCATACCCTTCAAGTTCTGACTCAATGGCCCCTATTTTGATATCGCGGCTAATCTGCATTGATGATAACGCTGTTATGACGTCACTGAAGTTTCTGTACTGCTCCAACTGCCTTTTATTTATTGCCAGGATTTCTCCCTCGGCTACCTCAACATCCGACTCCAGATTTTCTAGTTTTTGTCGCGACTCTTCGTTCAGGCTTGACCTGGTGATTAGAACTTGTACGTTGTCTGACAACACTATTGGCTGGATATTTTTTCTAATCCCGTGGGCGGTACACTTGTAAGTGTCTGGGGCATCAAAGTTCGGTTTGTCTATCACAAAACTGAGATAAGACTCCTCTCTCGGCTGGATGAAGCCCGACGTTTTTACAGCCAATTTAGACAGTGCTACAATCACTTGGTTAGAGAACACGCTGATGGACGCAATGTCTTGCAGAACATGGGTGTCGGACACTACAGCTGAGTCAATTGAGTTGTCCACCACAGGCATGTGGTCCCGTAGGCCGGACACAACAAGGGAAACCAACGCGTCCATCCCTTGGTCAGTGTCCGGCACGTAGCTGCAGTGTACGTGTAAAGGCCCACTTCCACAATTTTGGGGGACACCTCGAGCAAAATAGACCCAGCTGATAAGGAAAGAAACAAACAGATTAAAATGTTGTTTAAAACCGTGTTTAAGTTGAACGCCTTGCGTTTTAATGTCTTACGTTAAAATTGTGCTGGTTTAACGTTGTTGTTTTTTTTTAATCAGAATGTCCATGTGTTTTCATTTATTCTGCTCATAATGAAACTGCACACTGTAATCATGCACACTGTAATCATGCACACTGTAATCATGCACACGGTGATCAAAAGACATCATCATTGATTTGAACCAATAAAAAATAATCGTATCTCCCTGCAATTTTAACATCAATCGAGAAGACCGTTTATTTAATACGGTGCTTTCCTAAAACAAAGACAACAACAACAACAACAAAACAACAAGAAGTTGAGTAAAATATGTAAGTTAAACTACTCACATACGAGCACGTGCGGACCAACCATCACCAATGAGAAAAGCAACAACGCCAGTAGGCTAACTGCTTTGAATCCGGCCATTCTTAATTCAAGCCGAGACCAACTCTCTTTCTCTTGCTATCTGCTTTGTTTCTTCTACGTGCAATGGCGCTATATACTCGAAGAGCATGGAGTATGCCAAGAATGTTCATATTAGTTTCTTGCTTCCACGAGATAAGCGCAGTAAGGACCGCACATGTCTGTTATGTGTTGTCAACACCCAAGTTTAGATTTTAGAGGTGCCTGCGGGTGAGTGATGCCCGTGTTGCTCGGGGTTGTGGTGCATATGTTGTTTGGGGTAGTGGTGCATATGTTGTTTGGGGTAGTGGTGCATATGTTGTTTGGGGTAGTGGTGCATATGTTGCTCGGGGTAGTGGTGCATATGTTGCTTGGGGTAGTGGTGCATATGTTGTTTGGGGGAGTGGTGCATATGTTGCTTGGGGGAGTGGTGCATATGTTGTTTGGGGTAGTGGTGCGTATGTTGTTTGGGGTAGTGGTGCATATGTTGTTTGGGGTAGTGGTGCATATGTTGTTTGGGGTAGTGGTGCATATGTTGTTTGGGGTAGTCCACGTATACAACAAACCCCATCACCACGATATGTTGTTTGGGGTAGTGGTGCATATGTTGTTTGGGGTAGTGGTGCATATGTTGTTTGGGGTAGTGGTGCATATGTTGTTTGGGGTAGTGGTGCATATGTTGTTTGGGGTAGTGGTGCATGGTTTGCTTTGAAGAGTGATCCACATGTTGATCGAGGTAGTGGTGCATATGTTGCTCTGGAGAGTGGTACATATGTTGCTCGTGAGAGTGGTACATATGTTGTTCTGGAGAGTGGTGAATATGTTGCTTAAAAAGTGATGCATATGTTCCTTGGAAAGTGATGCATATATTGCTCGGGGGAGTGGTGCATATGTTGTCCGGGGTCTAAACATGATTATTTTTTTATGTTTTTATCTAATCCCTTCTTGAATCCCCATAATCGCAGATTCTAAAAAAAATTAAAAAGATAACTAAAAATACGGGGTCTCCTCTGCTGACGACAAGATACTTTCTCAAATGACCTTAATTTGAAGACTTTTTTTATGGGTTAGCAATATAGTTTTACTACGGGGAGAAAATAATTTTAAAAATAGTTGATGAATAAAAAAATTATTAATTAGTAATTTTAAAAAAAAAATAATAATAATAACAACCGAAAAATCGGGTTACGAGGATGAGGTCAATTGTGCACACCCGTGATTTAGTCTACTTTTCGATTTTAAACCAACGCTTACATTAATATTAATGCGTTTTAGATTATTAAATGTTTTAATTGAAGTTAAATTATTATGTTTTACATTTCCCTTTTTTCAGTTAGTAAAACAAGCATGTCATATCAGAACTAATTTAATATAAATAAATAAATTGGAGACATATTTTTTTTTAATTAAGAATTTAAAGGTGGCATACAAATAGTGCACATTTCATTAATTATTATATCGAAAACGTTAGTCGATTTTCAATGGGCTATTTTTTTTAAAAAAAAAAAAAAAAAAAAAAAAAATTTTTTAAATAAAAAAAAAAGTTTCCTGAATAACAGAGGTTATAATAAACCTATATTTATTAAATTTTCAACTGCTTTTGGTTTTTTAATATCATAATAATAAACAAACTGTCCCATTAATTTACTATTTACACTGATTTTTTAAAAATTTATATTGTTTTTTTCTAGATGAGAATCTATCAGAAAGCTAAAGAGGGAAGATTTGTGTGAGCTAGCATTTCGATTATAATGACAATTCCATTTTTGTTGGTACTTGTTTTAGAATAAATTCTTATTCCTAATTTCTCAATATAAAATAAATTCTGTGGATTTGGGAATCAAATGTTTTAAAGTATATCTAAATTTTGTTTTGTAATTTATCTGAAAAAAGTTCTAATAGTTTGAAATTCCAAATAAAAATTTCAATCAACTGAAAATCGAGAAATATATACTTTATGGTGAAAACCATCCATGTATTCTTGACATAATATTACGTTCATATACGATTGATAAAAATGACCAGTGTTGATAACCCATAAAAATGTTTAGACCTTTCTTTTGAACAGTTTTTATTCTTTTTGACTTTTGTAAAACTTGGGAAGATTTGGCAAAGTTTATTATTACATGTAAGTTGATTATTATTAGCATTTTTTTTTCATTTCCGTTCATCATATAAAAATGATGTCATCAGTGCTATTTTGTGATGGAAACGGTGTTGGTTTTTTTTTACTTCTGAACATTCATTTATTAACTGTGTAGCTAAGCCCCGAAAAAGTTTACATAATAAAATGAAGAAAAAAAAACAACACATTATTATTTAGTAATATAAAAAAATATTTGCATAAAACAAGCTGGCAAAACAGAACCGTCGCTCGATTTTTTGGTTTTTATCCTCCCCCTGCTTGCATTGAAAGATGATAAGTAAGAAAATATCCACATCACATCTTTAAGACCCTAAATGATCCGAGTCCCACTGCAGTCGTAGAGGTTGCTGGGCTCTTACGATGTTTATAAGGTTGTGACACCTACAATTTTTTTAAAGAAACATCTCTTCCGTTGCTTGTCATCTACGCGTCCTGGGCCAGGTGTGTCCTCAACTCAATAAGAGAACAGCCAATGCCGTAGCAGTCAGTCTAATCCAATCAAGATTAGATTACTATAAGAGTTGTTTATTTACATCAAAACCAAATTCAGAGAATCCAGAGCGTACACAATACTGAAGCACGCATTGTATACCGGATAAAGAAATCTGACCATATCACCCGAGTTCTTAGAGATCTCCATTGGCTTCCTGTGCGTGAGCACATTGCCCATAAAATTCTGTCCCTGACGTCCAGCTGTATAAAAGGTTCTGCACCTTATTATCTTAGAGAACTGATTTCTGAACACGTATCCTTAAAGAACCTGGTCTCTTCAACACAGTCATTACTGTGAGTTCCCAGTGTGGGTGAACACAGAAAGAAGCCATACGGAGTGCATTCTTTTAAAGCTATAGCGCAACAAATTATGGAATAGCTTGCCTCAATCTTTGAGGGATATTTTTTTTAAAAAGGATAAAAAGGTCATTTTAGAAACAGTTAAAGACTTTTTTCTTTAACTATATTTTAGGACATCAGAGTGCTGTGAACATATTAAAATAGCATGGAGACAATCTCTATTAAAGTATTCAATCAATCAAAATAGTTTATAATGTTGCAAAACTAAATTAAAGTATGGGCTAAAATGCATTCTTATATTTTGAAATATTTAAGCATTGTCTAGGGACTTTGAAGATATAGTAGGTGATATTAAGATTGGGAAAAGCCATACTCTCGTAGGCACCGCAATTAGAATGCATTTAGTTCATGTCCCGCTGGTCTTTGATCATTATTATGGCTAATTTTGGCACTCCCACGGGAAAGTTTGAAATGACCCCTCATTACTGTCTGAAAGAAAAACTGAATTCAAGTATGCGCCCAAATTCACCTCTCCATTTTGAATTTCTTGACTGTTGTCAACACCCTCAATTTCAGCACCCCTTCCCTCACGCTGATCAATGTTACAGTATGGGGTTGAATATAATCTTGTCCTAAATGATTACCCTGAGGCACACCAGATTTGGAGTGGATTCAGTAATCTATGGCACTGGCACCATAATGCCTTCTTAGACCCTTAAAAATTTCCTTGCCCTGATCAAAATGTCTTATAGAAATATTGAATACTACTATATTCCAAAATGCACCTCTTGATTTTGAAATAATTTTCAAAAAATTCTGGGGAGGTGACTCCCCTGACCCCTCCACCGCTCAAGATTCACCTTACTTACTTAATTCTTTATCCCGTCTGGGGTATAGGCCGTCAATAAGAATGTTCCATTCTTGTCGGTATTGTTCGTTCCTTTCCATTTGCTTCCATTTGTATCCCATACTGTGTGCGTCTGCCTCTAGCTCGCGTCTCCGTGTATTTTAAGAGCTTCCTCTTTTCCCTGTGGATTTCATGTTAGGGATTATATGGCTTATCGGGGGGGGG